ACAGATACATTTGACAATGAATAAAATGTAAAGTTGCTGATAAGCTGAACTGCATGTTTCCCCTTAAATCTGCATTCCTTGTTGGGTTCGTTTTTGGTTGTATTGTTAATGAGGCTTTGAATTGCTACTTTTGATGATCACTTTTTGAGAAAAAGGTAAAATGGGGAAATGAGAGAGATTCTCTCATGCCTATTTTTAATATGTCTTGCTGTCTCAGAAACCTATGCTGAGGATTCAGACATCTGTTATGTGGGACAGATGTGCTATAAAATACAAATTATGATGTCTTTGTGGCAGAAGAGGTTAAGCCAAAGCCTGTTAAAGTCAATAAAAAACTCCCAGTGTTTTCAATGGGTTTTGGATCAGGTGCAAAGTAAGTGATGGGGAACTATGGGGTCTCTGCTCCCTGCCCAGCTCTAACACAGGGTTCCCAAGTGACCCCATTAACTAATTTATGTTTTATGCCTCAGTTTCCCTACTTTTCTCAGTCTTCTACAATACCTACCCGAAAGCATAATTAGGTTTAATGGCTCATAAGGTGATTGAAAAATCTTAGAAAGTGCTATAGGACTGCAAGGTATTCCTGGTACCCAGAAAATGTTTTATTTTATGCCTGGTTAAGCACTTAATGTTTAAGATATAAGGGGCTGGTGAACCCAAGTGCTAATAACAGGTTCCATAGATTAGGTTTTCTCCTGTGGGTCTACTTTGAATTTAATTTCTCTGTTTATTTAGCTGTGCATATATGTGTGTGTGGCCCTGCATGTAGCAAAGGGCCAGAAGGACCGAGCCCCTCCCTGAGGAAGCTCTAACAGAGGATCTGTGCAAATGTGCTTCCTCTTCCTTTCACTCCCCAACCTTAAGGTCAGAGGATCTGGAAAATCCTCCTCCACCCTGTGACTTGATCTGACGATTGTAAGAGAACCGTGGTTCCCCTACGCCTTCCGCTCCCCACCCTTCCCTCTCGCAGGCCGGTAACCCTTTAAAGCCTTCTCCAGATTGATGCCTATCTATCCTGGGCTCTGAGGAGGGATGCAGGGGGTGTTGGGTACTTGTATTTTTACAGGCTAAGCAGCCCTAGGTGTCACAGGTGGTAGGTAGGCTGTTTCTGTGACCCTCATGGGCCAAGGCAACACATGAAAACAGTGTCTCAAAGGTTGCTCAGAGGCACTGCTTCCTGCTCCCAGACGGACAAGAGGCAAACCTGGAAAATGCATCAATTATTAACTCAGTTGAAAAGAGTTAACTGCTTTTTTTTTTTTTTTTTTCATTCTTAATCTCAGATATTTGGATTCAGGTCAGCTGAGTCAGGAGTTCCTGCCTTTGGCTTCCAGCTCCGTTGCGGCATGAGGGGCCCTCACGGCAGCTGGCAGCGCCGTGGCCGGTGCTGGTGGCCAGCATGGCTGGGAGCATCAGGGCTGTGAGGATGCTGTTCAGGGATCCTGGTTTGGGTAGAGCTCTCCCATTGGGACGCTTTCCCACAGTTGCTGGCACTGCACTTAAACAACTGCTTTGAGGGCTCTCAGAAAAGCCTTCAGGGACCCCTGGGTGGAAATCACCGGAAAAGGGACAGAGTGTCTCCATGACCACAACAAGCGTCCAAGATGGCTGCCAGGCAAAACTGTAAGCAACCTCTGCTCGGAGCATCCCTCAGCCCCAATAAGGCAGCACGCTTTCCACTGCCCATGTCTCCACCAGCCACCTCCCTGTTGTGGCATAGAAAGATGGCAGCTGCACTTCGGCCCAGGGAATGTGGAGACTGCTGTGCCCCGTGCTATCAGCCACAGTATGGCCACCTTTGGAGAAATCATGAATTAGCCTTCTTTGGGCTGAAGAATTCTTAGAAAAAAACAAGGAAACCAATGGCAATTGAAGTTGGTTTTATATGCCTTCGAGCTTCTGAGCTTTTTAGGGCTTTTCTCTGGCCCCATCAGAGCTAGAAAGTGACTTTTTGTTTTCAGTGGCAGGCGCAATTTCCACAAAGAGGAGCACAACACACCACAAACTGGCTGATGACAAACACACCAGCCTCAGTCAGAGAATTAAAGTGTGAGTGCAAGCTGCATGCCATCTGCAGCCCGGAGGCCTGTGCTGTAGTTCAAGATGGACACTGTCTCCCACAAAGAGTGGCCATGCTCTTGCTGAGGCTGACTCATGGCCCAGCATGCCCCTTTCTTCCACCCAAAACCAAGTGATCGTGGGTGCTATGGGACTTTCAGACTGCAGATACCCCAGATCTTGGCCTCAACTGCCATTTTTAATGTGGCTTCAGGGAAATGGAGTGCCCAGCTTCCCAGTGGAGGGAAAACAGCAGCTGCAGAGGCCCTTCTCACACCACAGCCTGCAGGGTCTCACCTCCTCGCCTCTGCCCTTTGGAGGAGCAGGCTCGTGTCCCTCTCTGCAGCTGCTTCTCTGAAGGAAGAGACCTTGCAGTGTGGCGATGGTGATCATCAGCTGCTGGTTCAGGTTGCAGGTTCATGCCTGCTGGCCACCTGGCTGGGTTGGCTCTTCCTGCACGCCAGCCTTTGCATGAGACGGGGGTGCAGGAAAGGGCGCTGGAGATGGGATGGCTTGGCGTGTCTCCAGTGACAGCCTTTGTAGCTCCTGGGCTCATTTCAGTGAGCGAAGGAACCGTCCCCTCTAGGCTGGTGGCAGTGTCCCCCCTGCTGCTCCTATCAGCAGGTGAAGAGTTGAGGCAGCACTTTCCAGAGAGGGTAAATATGCTCACAAACTCTAAAAGCACACCCACAAACCTGATTATTTCGTATTAATCTAAAATTTTTTAAAGGAACTATTTATTAGCATTTGTTCCTTTTGTATGCAGTCCGACATTTCTGGTGTTGTGTGTAGACTTTGCCTCCTTAAAAGGAGCAGAAGGTACTCCTCAAATTGCAAATTCAACGTTTGCCTCCGTTTCTCCACTCAGTCTAGACTGAGCAAACATTTTAGGTTCTATCAGTGTTTGTGGTCTGCAATTAAAAAAGCTGAGACAGATACAGGTTAGTCTAGTTCTTATGTAGAGTGATTTATTACAGACATGCAGGCCAGGGACTGCACACTGCAGCAATATGTCTGACCCACAGAATAAGTACTTTCTAATATTAGCATTGACCCAGGCGAATTACACAGAGATGCTTGCATAATTATGTGTCTTTGAAAGGCCTTTCAGTAAACATATATGTGTATAAAGTGTCTTTCATTTAAAAAACATTGAGTCTTATTCCGTTCCCTTTACACTAAGGCGCTATTACCCTTCTGTGGAAGTGAAACTATACTGGGCTTCAGCCTGGGGAAAACCACAGGTGTTTGTGTCCTGCAGCAAACATTTCTGGGTGCCTACACTAGCATTTGTAGAGGTAATCACAAAATGAGTTACCATGGGGCCACAAACCTGGCTATAAATATATGCACAAATTTCACGTTTCCTGAAGCAGGAACTGCTATTTATTGTGTACAGCACCTGACACAATGCAGTCTTGACCTGGTTAGGGTTCCTGTGCTGTCCTGCAGTGAAATGGTAAATAAAATAGCAATACTGATGTTTTTCTCCTTTTTTTCTGCATGGTGTTATTGCTGAGGTGTTTTTGTTTAGTGGGTCTAATGAGCAAACTTGTGGAGCCACTATTGAATGAAAAGGATTTGGAGAAAGACACATTTTTGCCATTTGTGAGTCCCATCTGCTTTAAAACAGGGCACGGGTTTCTTCAAATTTTGTAAGAAACAAACCCATGCTTTTTACAATAGTAATGAGTTCTATGCAGTGCAAAAGGTCATGTAAAAAGCAGCAGGAGGACAGGATGCTGGGATAAAACACTGAGCAGATTTACTTCCTAAATTAACATTTTTTTTTCTTTTTTTTTACTCTCCCTGGGACTTTGTGGAATCTTGTGCTACACAAAGGAAATGAAAGAGCATTAAGTACAGGTATACTGCAAACGTGGTAAGCAAAATACTGGAACATTTCTAAAGACAACCAAAAACGAACCCAACAAGGAATGCAGATTTAAGGGGAAACATGCAGTTCAGCTTATCAGCAACTTTACATTTTATTCATTGTCAAATGTATTGGGAAGATGTTAAGCGGTCAAGTATATGTAGAAGTTGTCAAATATGATCAACAAGAATGAAGTCACTGAATTTATGAGAAACTCATGTGCATCTACCCATGCAAGTATGAAGCAGGGTTATTATACCTCGCTATATATTTCCTGATTCTGAAGAGACTGGACCAAATTCTTCTCTACCACAATTTAATCAGTCTTCAGACATTTATTAAGCTCATACTTGTCTGGTGTCAGTGCCTGAAAATGTAAGCTCCAATAACAGTTCAATCCAACAGATGTATGGAAGTTTGTTTTAATAAATGTAAGGGCCACAAATTCAAATGTTTGAGATGTTTGGAAGAAGTTTTAGTTAAAGACAAGTTTAGCTCACTGCAGCAGCTAATAATGAGCTTGTACAAGGTGACATCAAGAAAAATCTATGGCAAGGCATAAAAAGTCACAACATAGACTTTGAAAACCTTGCTAAGTTTACAAGAAAGGCCTGTAGGCATTTGTTGCTTGCTTTACTCGCTGGGGCCTTCTGCCTGCTCTGGGGTCTCAGGAGGACTCTGCACTCAGCTGCCCCAGGCCAGCAGGAGCACTGGGACACACTGACAGCAAGCCTTCCTCCCCAAGTCCTCATCCGCTTGGTGGCAGGACTGACTTAGCTCACTGTCCAGCCATACTTTCCAGCCAGTGCAAGAGGGGGTCAGCGCCTTTCCTTGCCCTTCCCTGTCCTCCTGCATGCCAAGGAGATGTATAAAGAACTGTCCTGACATCTCTGCCCATTATTCTCTTTTAGCCTCCTCCTCCACGGGACTGTTTCTAATTTCTTGCCTTGCTGTCACACTTACTGGGCACACCCATTCATCCTCAGGTTCCTCTGGGATAAAAGGAGGATTGAGTTACCTGTTTTCTCTTTTTGGGCAAGAGTTTCAGAGCCTTTTCCTGTCCTGAGCCCCTAGTATCCTGCAGGGGCTCTCCAAGGATAAGCTCTTGCAGAAGAGAGAAAGCAGAGAAGACAGCCATAGCAACAGCACTCCTCCCTTCTATTGCTCTGCATCTTCCTGCATGCACCTTCTGGATTTTTGTCTGCAGAATGGAAAAAGATAAGCTTTGCCCCCTTTTCCTTTCCAACAGGCACTGGAAGATTACCAAGAGGGCTGGGAGGTGTAAAAAGGATAAATATTAAGGAAAAAGAGGAAAAGCTGCAAGATAGAGAAGTGTATAAGGAAGAAAATGATTAAAAAAGAGTGAAGTAGAGGAAGGTGCAGAAAATAAATCATTATCCCAAGTACCTGTGTAGCCGAGGCTTCCACTTCCACAGTAATGTGCCCTTTCTAGATTGCCATAGCTGTTCAGTAGCATTTTGTGCTCAGAAACACTAATTTCACACAGAACCTGTTGAAAGGATCACAGAAACCCAGTCTTTTATGAAATGTGCTGGAATAGCTATATCCAAGTTATAGTTCCAGGGGACAGGGAGAAGACAATACAGCATGGTGGATTAGAACATGCTTCCGTGTTCTGCCTGATGTTGTTCCCCAGATCCTTACTGGGATAATTTTAAATATTGAAGATCTATGACCAGTACATACAAATTGCATCCTCCTTGCCTTTTCTTTATCATCTTCCTCCCAACCTTCCTCTTACTCCTTTGGGTCAAAAAGGCACAACTTCCTGTCTGCTTCCTAAAGCTATAGTCTTTTTTATTTTGAAACAAGAATAAGCAGAAGATTAATTTTATTTTGCAATAGATGAACATGAAAACATTTGAAATAAATAGGAACAGAATTTGAGTGCTTTTATAAAGGAAAAAAAGTGCAAGCAAAGTGATTCCCTCAGAATACTTGCAAAAAAGAAACAGATGTGAAAAAAATCTAAATGTGAGTATGAAAATAAAATCCAGACCTGTAAAACTTTTTTTTTTTTTTCAAAGAAAGCCAGATTCATTAATATATCCTCAAAATATGGAAACAACATATTTGAAAAAGTGAAAAATAAGGTGAAAATACAGTATCATAGGCATTAAAAAAAAATCAATGTAAAGAACAAAGTGAGTGAGGGTTTGCAGAAGTCAAATAAACACTGACTTGACTTGAAGAGGGCAAATAAAATAATCCAAGCTAGAAAAAGGAAGTCTCTGCATCATAGCTGAAAAAAAAAATGGAGAGATGACAGTTAGAAAGATGATCTGTCATTTCCATCAAGAATTTCCTCACTAAATTCTGACCCTAATGAGGCTGTAGTATAACATTTCTGCAGCTGATCATCATGCTACTTAAAATGATGTTTGTTTATCTTTTAGAAATCGGAGACTAAGGCTACTTTGAAGTTTCCAGATATTAACATCACATATACTCCACCACAGTGTGTGGGTTATTTCCATAATGAAAGCTTTAGAAAAATGTACAACTGATCTGTGAAGTACAAAATTAATCCCAATGAGATGTATAAATTAATCAGTTTAACCTATATAAACTGTTTTTTTCCTCACTATTTTGGGGAAGAACATAATAAAAGCCACACAGGAAAAATGTGGGGTTAGAGGGTTCATCCTTATCTGTTGAACACTTAGCACACATAGCTATAATCCTTATTCCCACTAGCAAATTAATCCTCATTCTCAGTGAACTTTGATGTTCAAAATACAGGCTCACTCAAAAAAATTCCAAGTATGTATCTGACTAAACCCAGGAGTTTGGTTGTTACCTGATTTTCTTCTTCATAATTTTAAGACATGTAAGATGTTACACACATAGTTACAGATTCTTATGCTTCAATGCATTTGTCTTACAATATGCAAGAAGTCAACAGCCAAAATATTGGAAAGAAAATGTGACAAGGCTTTTTTTTCTGCAGAGATTTCATTTGTGTCATTGACCAAAAAAAAGTGAGTTCTTTAATTATGACATCAGTGCAAGGTCTTTCTGAAACTTCTTAAGCAATGATGAGAGCCTAAAGCAGCAACTTCTAAACTTTCTTCAGTTCATATCTTACAGACCAATAATTTTATGCAGCTCCTAATGTTGGATATAGTAGCACAGTCAGTACAGAGCAACCCTGTACTTGTGTTAATGTCAGTGAACACATAGAATTTCTGTTGGGTGCATAAGCTACATCTGAAGGTATAAATCCCGATTTATGGTATTAGCATATATAAACTGTTAGATAGCTGTTTCAATCCCCTTCCCTTCCCTTCCCTTCCCTCCCCTTATTCCATCCTCATCTCACAGACAGGTGACTTCTTGTCATCTCAATTTACCATCAAAGATTGCCCTCCCCTTTCTAAGCAATTTAATTGAAAAGGTTAGCAGATAATGCCAGAAGCCCTAACTTCGACATCTGGGGCCACACCTTCTCCTCATGTAAATACTAATACATATTTTCCAGGCAGAGGACCTCCCTTTTTCTCCAGACCCAAGAAGGGTGACAA